TATGCTCTACACAATTGCTTTGTCATTGGAGAATTTTAAAGGCTCATGAATGAAAGAAAATAAATAAGATTTCCTGGAATTTAGGGAGCAGGTTTAGGCCAGATCATGGAGTCGGGATTGGTCTAGACCTCTGTCTCTTCAGAGACTGGTGAATGCCAACATTTAACCTATATTTAACCACATTGCCCTAAACCATTCAATGGTACCAATTTATCTTTCTTGATGCCTAGTTAAACACATTAAGATGTGCTTATAAGGTAATCTGTTACAGTACTAACTATGTATGGTGAAATAAAGACTAGTTTCTCCTTTCCTTTCTGTCACCTCACACTTCATCATCTCAGAAAGGAAGGTAGCCACTGATAATATTATCTCAAGTCCTGGACCATCAAAAAAACAAATTCAGATTCTTTATTTTTTATTATTTTTTCCACTAATGCGGTACTACCTTTGATTACATATATGCATGTCAAAAATAAAAACCAAATAAAAATTGCATAATTTCCTCACAGTACTTTGAGGTTTGGGGGCATTTTTCAGTAGTAGCAACTCTTATTGTATTATGTATTAGTTCACTAATGTTAGTGAATTTTATTTTCATTCTTCCTAGAAAATCAACTCAGCTTTCAGCTGTCCAATTTCCCCTTACTGATTGAGAAGTAGATATGCGGTCTAGCATTTATCTAGGGAGTTTGCTAAGTTTCCCATCTCATACTGAATTTGTTCAATGAAAACATTTATTTTAGTTTTCAATCAGGGAAATTTTAAAATATATTTAAAGGGAAGAGAATAAGCTATGTAATTATTAATGATAAGTGACTAAGTAAAAATTAAACAGAAATTTCTAAAGGTTGAAATAAAATTGAAGTTGATTGTAAGTCAACAAGATAGAGTTCTTGTCTTAAAAAACATGGTTCCTTCAATAACTATTATTTGAGTATGTCACCCTGTCATACTCCGAGAAAATGCAAACGCAAATACGGCTAAAGTTTCTGCTATCAATGATCTCACAGTCAAGGAAAGGGAATGAGCAAGACACCAGTAATATAAAAGGCATACATAACAGTGCAACCCTACATCCTTTCCTTACATGGTTGTCATGAGTATTAAATGACTGCATATTTATACAGTCTAAAACTGCCTGACACACAGTCAAAATCACTGTCCATTAAGTAAATATGCAAATATATAAAATATCTATGTCCATAGGATAGACATAGGCAAAGTGACATAAAATTATAAATGGACAAGAAACGGTTGGAAAAAACCTCAGATGATTTCATAAAGAAAAAGACATACGATGAATGAGAAAATTGACAACAGAACTGTCAAAGGAAGTTGTTAAAGAAAAAAGAAAAAGAAAAAATTAGCAGAGGCATGGAGTTAAAATAAATTCAAAAATAGTAAATAGACCCAAGTGACAAGAACGTAATTCTTGACTTATTTTTTTTTCCTTTCTTGAATATAGGAATGTGGGCTTTAAAAGCTAGTTAGGCAGCAATAGGATGCAGAGATTTTTTTGGTCATATTTGCTAGTATTACAACCTTTGGTGTAATAAGGAAAATCAAATCATTTTTTAACTAGTCAACCAATCACAAAAGAGTCATTGTAATGCTCACAGTGAACTATCACATACAACATCAGTAATGACTGTTATCACTGTTATGCTACATTTATAGAGATAAGGAATGTTTGACATTGATGTAGTTTTTGTTTGTTTGAGTTTTTGAGTAGGAGTCTCACTCTAACACTCCGGCTGAATGGCACACTATCAGCTACTGCAGCCTTGGCCTGCTGCACTTAAGCAATCCTTCCACCTCAGCCTTCCAAGTAGCTGGAACTACAGGTGCACACCACCACACTCAGCTAATTTTTTATTTATTGTAGAGACCATGTTTCACCAAGTTGCCCAGGCTGGTCTTGAATCCCTTGGGCTCAAGCAAGTCTCTTGTGACGGCCTCCCAAAGTGCTGGGGTTACAGATGTGAGCCACCACGCCCAACTTGATGTAGCTTTCTATGTTCAAGTTGGCATGGTTAGTTCTAAAGGTGTTGATTATAGATTTGACAACCAGGTTAATCAATAAACTGTCTCTTTTCTCACTCCTTTCCATAACAAGTCTGTGGAGAAATTATTTGTGGAAAAGAAAGAGTCAGCTATTTTATTCTTTTAGAAATTAAATTCACTCTCTGTTCTTTCTTCAACTCAGACATTCTCTGCTGATCGTTTGGGAGCTGATTAGGGGCAGCTACATTCATCCTTGCAGCTCTAGCATCTAACACAGCACCAGATAGTAAACTCTGGTTTAGATTGGATGAACTGGATGGGGTTGTATCAAAGTGAATAAGAAATAAAGCACATCTATTCCTTATAATTGTTAAAACATTATCTTTTCTAGGCATAAAGTTCAAGGCACATAGAATGTCTTTCCTTATGTATCCCAAATGGTCCTTCTCTGTCATCAGCTTTTACAAACTGCATTGGGTAGACGTTATTGTAAAGATCCTGTATCTCCACCAGATAGATTAGATTGGAAAACTGAAGGTGATTTCATAATACTAGGCTGATAAAATATAATGAATACATTCGATTAAGTTACACTTAAAGTAATACTAATTGAAATTACAATGTTTTAAATAAAAACTATTTTTAAATAGCTCATTATGCATATGTTGTTAAAAATATTTTGTATCCTAGAAAACCTTATCGAAGCAATATATGAGGCATCCAGTGCAATTAGTTCATTTTAAGAGTCAGAAAAGCCTAATTTATTATACAGCAGATTGATGTAATAACTAGATAAGTGCATTTATATATTTACATAACAGGACAAGATCCTTGAAGCCTAAATAATATGCCGTATTTAGTTGTCAAGCGACTATTTCTACCAATTAACAGTGTATTTGCCTTAAAAGAATGATCATGTAACTTGTCAAGCAACTATTTTTACCAATTAGCAATGTATTACTTAAAAAAAAATAATAACAAAGGGATGTTGTGCAAACTCCTGTTTTTGAAAATTTTTTATTTTAAATACATGGGACTCAATTCAGGGTTAGGTATACAAATGCTCATTATGCAGGTACCCTTGTTGATGAGGTGTTCCCCCCCCGCAAACTCCTATTTTTTAAAATCTACACTGAACAAATAAAACGTCTAGTAGTTTCTTGGAAGTGACCAGCTGCCTATAGATGTGTCACTTTATTTGCTCACTTATTGCATATAAAAGAATTTTAAAAGTAATTTAGAAGTTAAGTACAAAAGGAAAAGATAGTTTTATAAATATATTTCTTTCGAGTCACCTTAAAATCTCACACAATGGTTGAGAAAGCCTTCCCAGTGAAAGTCACATTTGACCTAATATATCTGAAATAATAGCTATGTTATTTGTATCAGATGGAATTCCCTTAAGAAGTTAACAGGTATGCGATTCAGTATAGAGTGCTACAATCTGCATGGTTATGATTGTGTTGATACAAATTTGTTGATAGAAACAAATTTGTTGGTCAAGGTTATTTCTCTTTTTCTCCCCCTTTAATTTTTTTTATTTTAAAGATGTGGGGTACAATTCAAGGTTATATATATAAATGTTCATTATGCAGGTACCCTTGTGGATGAAGCATGCCCTCCCCTGCCCCAGGCAGATTCCCACTACTGACAACCCCAGTTTCCTGCTACTGCCAATCCTTTTCTTATAATATTATGATAATTGTTCAAGGTCCACTTATGAGTAAGAACATGTGATACTCAGTTCTTTTTTTCTGTGAAAGATCACTCAACATTATAGACTCTAAGTCTATCCATGCCATGAAGTTCATGATTTTGTCCTTCTTTGTTTATGTAGTATTCCATCATGTATATGTACCACATTTTTTTATCCAGTCCTCTTTTGATGGGCAGCAAGGATGGTTCCATGTTCTTGCTATTGTGAACAATGCTACGATAAACATACATGTGTAGGCATCTTTTGTATAGAGTGATTTGAGTTCTTCCGGATATATTCCCAGTAGGGAGATTATGGGGTCATATGGAAGGTCGGATTTTGATCTTTTAGGAATCGCCACAGTTTTCCACAGAGGTTGTACTAGCTTCAACTCCCACCAACAGTGTTCCCTTTTCATCGCATCCTCTCCAGCATCTGCTGTTTTTTGAGTTATTGATGATAGCCATCCTGACTGAAGTAACTGGTGTCTCAGTGTAGTTTTAATTTGCATGAAATTATTTCTCATGAGGTAGCTACTCTCATGGAAAAAGTGTGTGTTCTCTCTCTAGACTGATTCTCCTTTTACTTTTTTCTTTCTATCTCAAGCATGTGGTTAAGATATAGTCTGTTGAACTGTTACAATGATTCATATCAAGGAAGCAAAGTATTTTTTCCTGACTTATCAGATCTTGGAGACTATGAAGATTAGAGGATATTTTTCTTAAGCATAAAATTGCAGATAAGCCAGACATAAAGGAGCATATACGCAATGATTCTGTTTAAGTCAAGCTCAGAAACAGTAACATCTAGTCTATGGTCATGACCAGTAGTGACCAGAAGGGAGTAAGAGGAAGATAAATTTTGTGTTTCTGGATGTGGGTGCTTGTTATATGAGTGGATTCAGTTTGTGACTATTCAATTGCTATTATCTCTTGGGTCTATGCTATACATCAATAAAAAGTCCAAAATAATAAATATAACAACAGGATTGAAATGAATTCAGATTTCATTTTTCTAATCCCAGTAGTGCATCCTAAAGGGGCTCGTCTTAGCAACAGATCATAATAGTCCTGTTTCAAATCATAACACTATTTAGCAGCAGTACCAGAAGTGGATATTGGACCTGCTGGTTTCATACCTTATTTTTTTTCTGTTTTGTTAATTTTTTTTATTTTTTAATTTTTTTTTTCTGATCACAAACTGCACTCGCTGCTAAGGCCCATGACAATGGCACCGCCTGCTGGCTGGAAGTCTGTTAACCTTTCTGTGTGAACTAACACCATTTGCCACGTTACAGGTGAGTTGTGTGAAGAGAAGTTGGACTTCTGTGCACAAGACCTGAACCCCTGCCAGCACGACTCCAAGTGCATCCTGACACCCAAGGGATACAAGTAAGTCAGAAACCGCCTTCCAGTTCACAATCAGGGGAAGAGCTCTTTCCTTTAGGAGCATCTCTTTTCTGCCATCCTTAGCTTCACACCTTTGCTCAGGATTTCAGCGTCTTAGTCACTGGTGTCAAGGACATGTTGATAAGTGTTCATATGTGGCGTGGACTGTTTGTTTAGTACAATGAAGAAAAATGAAAGAGCGTTTTGTTTTGTTCCATGATTCTTCTTGTGAAGTCATCTATAGGACTAAGCAGTCTTCCAATATGCTTAAGTTTATTTGAAGGCCAATCCAATTAAACATGTACCTTCTTCTAGATGCTTCATTATCTGAAGGTAATTCTGGCAAAATAGATAATTTGATTTTAATGTAACTGAAAGTTTCATGGTCTGAAACAACACTGACTATCCAAGGTGGGAAAGATAGAGTGACCGTATGTTCCAGGTTGCCTTGGATGGTTCTGTTTTATGCCTATAATTATCACTGTAATTACTGATAGTGCCCCTTTCACCTTAAATATTTTTGCTTAGGATGATAAAGCATTGCATCATGCCAGGGAGAGAGTTGTCTCAAGTGAACTTAGAACTTCAAAATTGTTTATTTTTCCACTTGAGCAATCGTCCTGAAATATGTTTACTATCAAATTGCATGATTTATTTGCCACTATCCTGAAGTATTTTAAGGGCTTATCAACAACAACTTCCCTGTGTGAATCTGAGAGACTGAGAGTAATTTGGAGATCATCTGGTCCAAATTCTTTATCTTAAACATGAGGAAATGATGGCCCAGAGAGATTAGATGACTGTCCAAAAAATCTTTAGGTTATTTATTTCAGAACTGGAGTTAGGTTTTATACTTTCCAGTTAGGTGATTTGTCTTAACATGTCACCTCTAAGAAGTGTTGTAGTTTATTACATTGCATTATATTTAGGCTATATTACATTAATATTAATATTACATTTGGGCTGGTATAGATGATAGGCTAGATTCTTAGGAATGACACAGTTGGGCTCAGGAGATGAGTTGTGCTTACATCAGACAACTAGCAAACCATTTGTTCTTTTGCCCAGTATTTATTGCATGTCTGCCATGACCAGGGCACATGGTGATAATACAGTGCTGTGTTTTTGTAGTGTTGTATAGCTATTCACCTTCACATACTTCATCTTAGTGAAATGACACAGCCTCAATGGCCATATAATTTTTGAGAATTAAAAATTGCTCAAGTCAGGGAGTAACTTTATAAGAGAGGTGAGATTTGAACTGGAACTCTAAGATTTAATAACTACCAAACAGATAATCATCAGATGCTTTAAGTTGGGTGGGAGAGTGGGGTAGAATTGCCAGTTTCCACTGCCTTTCAAAGGTGAATCTGAGTTGAATATTTATTCTCAAGTTTTCTTTTGACAACGTTACTTTGCTTTAATTTGGTTTATAATCCAAAAGTTTAGATTATATAGAACAGTTATAGCACCTGCTGATTTCCCTACAATGTCTTTTTAAAAGTGAATAGATTTAGTTCTATCTTGCATTATATTTTAGTTTAAAACTTAGTCTTATTTGATTTTTACTTTATCCAAAATTCTGCATTATATTTTGTTAAACCAAACATAGTAGGTAAAACATTTTACATCCTAGTATCAATTATATGCCCACAATTGAATTTGGCAAACTGAAAGAACGTCACTTGCATAACAGATATCAACAGTTCTGAGAGAAATTATCAGTAAGGCAGATTCTCCTGAACTGCTCATCTGCTGAACAGATTTCACAGAACTTTGTGCATTGTCATAATAATATAAAGTATTAGTAAGACAATTGAAAACCATTAAAAAATAAGAGAGTTTGTCTTCAAAAAGACTAGTTCTTAATTAAATATCCCTTATTACTTTCAATTAAATTGCACACTCTTAAAAGTGCATGTTGTTGGATTATGGACTAACTGCTTTGGAAACCCACTGCTTTCAGCAGTAATTCATGAACTTGTTTTATAGCTGCATCTATGTAGTTTAGCAGAAAACAGATTGAGTCTAAGTGTGTGCTATTATTCCCGCCCTATAAATAATTGCACATTGTGAGGAAGGTAGTTGCAAAAAGAAAATGGACTTAAAAACCAAACCATACAAAACTGCCAGAGAAAATCTCCACTGACAAATGTTGTTTGGACAAGTTATACTGTTACTTCAACTTCATTTTCTTATTCCTAAGCTAACAGGGCTGGTTTTACTTTTCTTGCTTTATTATATACCTCATAAATCTCCAAAATTGCTTTGAGATATTTTTAGACTATGATATGCCATCAGCAGTATTTTCACGCATGCATCTTACTTAGTCAGCTTTTGGGCTTGTAGACAATATATTTTATATCCTTTGCTTTCTTCCTCCCTCCTTGTCAGATAATAGACTTGAAGGAATGTGATAGGTTTTATTGCTAATACAAACTTTAAGGAATTCATATTTAAATTTCTCCTTTCTATTTTGAAACTCAGTCTGAGGAGCAAAAGAAAGACACAAATGTTGGGCATAATGTAACTCTAAGTTCTAATGGGCTTGAAAAATAGTATTCGGAGAGAAGAGAATATAAAATAGCTTTTAGACAGCCACTGTGGTGAATGTGTGGTTCTCTTATCTTTCTCTTTGATTTCTTTTTTCTGGATAAATAATTCAGAGTGTTTCAAAGCATTTCTTCTTTCTTTTAATGCTTGGCACTTCAGCGGCTCTGCTCACATTAACATTGATGGAAGTTCTTTTCTCGGGCCTTGTCCATCTATTTGAGAATGTATATGGCCACTTAGGGTCCATTTAACTTCAGTCTTGTTGTTTACTTTGCTTTGTTATGATTTAGCATTAAAACCAACTGGCTGCAGAACAAGCATGCTTATGTAGTGAGCTCATTTTATTTCTTAATTCATACGTGCAAAGCTGAACGTCTGTTTGTTACTCTTAGAGGGTATATACTCCCATTTGTTTTAATTCATCAGCTCTCCAATAACTCTTAAATCCTGATTTTGCATTTTCAGACAAAACCTTTGGCATCCAGTAAAGCCACATTCATTGGGGTGTTTTTAATTACCCTTACTTACTGAAATCCTAATAGCTTTGAAATAGAAAAGTGGATAATTAGTAAGACTAAACCCTAAAGACTTTTATAGAATTGTAAAGACATATAGAGAATTATAATAAATATCAACCATTTATTGATCATGCATTATATATGAACACCCACTAATTACTTTATGGATAGCTTTATTTTATCATTTAGTAAGCCTGTAAGATGGAAATTATTATACACGTGTTAAAGATTAGGAAAGGAATACTTACAGAGATTAAATAACTGAGTCAGGATTCTGTATACTTTATGCTTAGTGAAGTGATCCAGACACCATAAGGCAAAGACTGCATGTGCAATTTTTAAAAATCAAACATATAGAAAAAGAGAGTAGAAGTTTGGTTACAGGAATCAAGAGGGGATGGGGAAAAGGAAGTGATGTTGGACAATGGGTAGAAATTTTCAGTTATGAGATGAGTAAGTTCTGGAGACCTGTTGTACAGCATGGTGAATGTAGTTAATAATACTGTATTGTATACTTGAAATTTGTTAGGAGACCAGATTTGAAGTGTTCTCGCCCCCCAAAAATAATAATAATAACGATGTGAAGTGATGAATATGTTAGTTAGATTAATTTTGTAATCATTTCACAATGTACACATGTATCAAACATCATGTTTTACACCTTAAAACTATACAATTTTTATTTTTTAATTATAGTCAATAAATCTAGAATAAAATGTTGTTGATTTATAAAAGGAAAAAAATATATACTTAAAAATGAAGCCAGGGTGCAAATGTTGTTCTATATAGCTGCAAAGACTGAATTCTGCAGAGTTAAACCGTAATTTTCTTGTGTGAGAGTGTGTGTGTGTGCATGCACGCACATGCATGTGTGCATGTATGTGTATATAGTTTAAATCTATGAACCCTGCTTTAAACCAAAAGCAAAAATACTTATGGAATCCCAATGTGTGAACCTAATAAATCACAACAGGAAAGTATTGGGAGATGGGTAGAAGGTAGAGGGAAGATTCCAAAATCCCTCTCCCCATCTGTTACCATATCTGAAAGGTTTCTGTTGTAGAACCCCTGTAGGTCTCCAATGCAGAGTGTCAAAACTGCTGAACATACAATATTGCTTTTCTTCTTTCAATTATAAAGTCCCATGTCCTTGGTGTCATAGTTAGAAATTCCAGTGATCAGCAGTCGAAAAGGACAGATTTTTAAAGAGAGCTGTGAGGAATGAATTATCCAACAGCAGAATGCAGTGGTTAGAAATCCTGTTTTTCAGCCGGGCTCAGTGGCTCAGTCTGTAATCCCGCGCCTTTGGGAGGCTGAGGTGAGTGGATTGCCTTAGCCCGCGGGTTCGAGACCCGCCTGGGCAGCGAGACCTCATCTCTACAATAAATCAAAAAATCAGCCGGGCGTGGTAGCGCGAGCCTGTAATTCTGGCTACTCGGAAGGCTGAGGCGGAAGGATCGCCAGAGCCCAGCAGGTCGAGGCTGCGGTGGCTCCAGTCTGGGCGACAGAGTGAGACTCCAACTCAAAAAAAAAAAAAAAAAAGAAATCCTGTTTTTCTTGTCAGATTGCTTGGGTTCAATTCCTGGCCATGGCACTTGAAAGTTGAATGCTTTGGAGCAAATGTTCACCTCTTTGTTCCTTAGTTTCTTCACCTATTGGTGGGTGTGCTAGTATCTCCAGTGTTACAGGACTGTGGAGAGGAGTCAATGAATCGATATATGCCAAGTAGTTAGAACAGGAACAAAGAATTTCAGCTGTATTATTACCCCTGGTTCTTCATCATCAATGCAGCTGAGACCGAGACCCCTTCTGCCACTAAACCAGCAAGGTAGACAGGCAGAAAAGTTGTCCATGGGCTTGGTCCCAGGAATTTTGTATCAGTTCCCCTATCCCACCTCACTAGGTCAATCCTGTTCTGCCATAATGATTATCGGGATTCGTTGTGAATTAGGATATCTAACGTTAATATATTTGCTTTTGTTAAAATTATATTTTGTTTTGGTGCATCTAGTCTCTATTGGAAAGTAAAAAATTAATAATAACTTTTACAATATGCTTAATATTCTTAGTAATCTCTGTAACATAGCACTTTTGTCATCTCAATCATCAAATAAATTAGGCAGAAATAAAATTAAAAGACACCGAAAGCAAATAAAGTCAGGAGAAGGAAATAAGGAAGGCAGAGAAAGGAAAAAGAGGAAAGGAGAAAGGAAGAACCCCCACTACAATTATTCTGTTCTTACTTGGGTTCTGGATGCAGCTATTATCAAAAAGAAAAATAGATCATTATTTCTTTGTTAGATCACAGTGAGAAAATGGAATACTTTGCAGAACAGTGTAGTTTTGTAGACATCCATTAATTTAGGAGCTCTATGAACCTTTTATAAATAAGTTTTTAAAAGATGGTACCATTTTTTTCCTAGATGAAATGTAGGTTTTTACTTATTTTGGCTCAGTTGGGTCTGAACCATTCATTATCTGCTTGTTCAAACAGATGTGACTGCACACCAGGATATATAGGTGAGCACTGCGACATTGATTTTGACGACTGCCAAGACAATAAGTGTAAAAACGGAGCCCACTGCACTGATGCAGTGAATGGCTACACGTGCATCTGTCCTGAAAGTTATAGGTAAATATATATATATACACATTTATATTTAGAATTACATCTTATAGGTCTCAGTTCACATTGACAATTAAGTAATATCTTATTAACATATTTCTCTTCTTATTCTTTAGTGGTTTGTTCTGTGAGTTTTCTCCGCCCATGGTTCTCCCTCGAACTAGCCCTTGTGATAATTTTGATTGTCAAAATGGAGCTCAGTGCATCATCAGGATAAATGAACCAATCTGTCAGTGCTTGCCTGGCTACCAGGGAGAGAAGTGTGAAAAATTGGTCAGTGTGAATTTCATAAACAAAGAGTCTTATCTTCGAATTCCTTCAGCCAAGGTTCGGCCTCAGACAAACATTACACTTCAGGTAAGAGTTCCAACTCTATCAAGAGCTGATCTAATATGAAGCCAAATTCAGTTTCAAAGAATACACACATGTGTATAGCCTGTGAATGATCATGTAAACAGCTAAAGATAATTATGGAAAATGCTCTGTGTGTGGATAGCTTTAGTAATTCTTCTCAGCATCATTTAGATCTTCAAGATGAAATGGAAACCAGGTATTTTGTTCACTACTTGATCTTATGAAAAAACAAACAGCAACAAAATATGCTTCCTTGTTTTGTTGTGCTAGGCAAAGACACTTTAGTCATTTATTTTTATGGCTCTGCAGTTCAGCCTCTGCAGACAGGAAACTTTTCTTAGGAAACCTTCCACAGATAAAAGTGCAGGTGAGAAAAAAACACCTGGATGCAGAACTTAAAAGAATTGACATGAAATTAACAAATTCGAATGTTGTCTCTCACCAAGCCACTGTGTACTTGGGAGCAAATCATTCAGACCTCCATGGAAGAGGTTACACCAGGTTAGGGTAATATATGTTCAGTACAGGGGATAAATTGTGTCTACATGTTTGTTTTATCTGGTAAACAAAATAGTTTAATATATTTTGAAGTCAAATGACTTGAGTCAGTTTCTTGTAGACCTCATCTCTTATTTGGTTGACACTGACACTCCAATGAGGGGCAGAGGGGTTTTTTTTTTCATAAGGAAGAGAACACTGGGAGGCATATGTCCTTCCGGTATTTGCCACAGCAAACAGTTATGAGAAATGCACAGTGCTGTGGTTTGGGGGCTTAAGTCCTGACTTACTCAACTAGTCCTTTGAAAGTGCAGAAAAGTCAAAGAGCAGGATAAAAACAGAAATTTCCTCTTGCATGTGGCATAACTGTAAAGACTGTCGTTTTTTTATGGGATATGAAAGTAAATCTTGCTCAGTGCAGTAACATTCCACATGTGCCATAAATAAAAACCATACTGGGAACAAAAGAAGTAGGTAAGTGAAAATCTCCAGCAAAAGAGTTCTAAGCACTTCCAACATGTTTATATATTGGTTCTTGCTCTTTTCAAATTGATTTATGAATTTATCTGCAACAAAGAAATTTAGGAATAAGTCACCTTTTAAATAATAATTTCAGCATGAATTATTTTCTCACGGCCATAGGGGGAAAAAAAACAACCATAATAATACCTTTTCACATCACTTAGCAGTCTTTTTCTTTTTGATTGACTATACATCCTAGTAATGCCAGAATTGCTTTTTACTAGTTTGCCACAGACGAAGACAGTGGAATCCTCCTGTATAAGGGTGACAAAGACCATATTGCAGTAGAACTCTACCGAGGACGTGTTCGTGCCAGCTACGACACTGGTTCTCACCCAGCTTCTGCCATTTACAGGTGAAGATCTCTCAGTTATGGGTAAAGGTGAAAAGAAATTGTTTAATGAAGAACCGCTTCTTCTGTATTGTCTTGTAATGGGAAGGAAAAGGAATAATTTGGCCCCAACAGGCGATATGATAGTGATCAATCTGGCAGGAATAGATGGCATATTTAGGTTGTGTAATTTGAGGAGAGATTTATAAGGGGACTACAATACACAAAGAGTGACAGGGACAATAAGTAACCTGAGGCTAGAAATGAGGGATGCAGGAATGTGAGATCAAAAAGAGGGAGCAGTTATGGAAATCTATGCTCTGAGAAGGCTTTCGGTAGGGGCTTGCCTGCCAGGATCCTAGGACCTTCAATAGAGATCTACCGTCATCTCTCAGGAAAACAGCCAGCTTCAAAATACTTTCCCTCCTTCCAACAATCTCCTGCCTGTGTTCCCCATTGGCCAAAACAGATGCCAGAGAACAAGGAATCTACTGATTCAGGTAATATAGCTTGCATATGAGCTTTTCAGGGAACAGCTGGGTGAAGAAGGATGGAGGAGTGCTACAGGGAAACAAATAGACTGCTCATCCACACACATTTGTTGAACACCTACTGTGTGCCAGACACTCTCATAAGCTTTAAGGAACAAAGTCCTTGCTCTTTTGGAGCTTACACAAAATAAGCAAATGGGACTCATACAATTTTGTGATTAACCTTGATAGTTCATTTTCAAAAAGTGATATTGATATATTGAAAATGTGAAAGAGGGAGTGTTCATGGGCATAAATATTGGTGCTTTATGCACAAGCTAACCATCAGAGCCCCTCTTGTGGGCTGCAACACCAGTTATTTATCATCCTGCAGACAAGTCACCCAGTTACTTTCTTTACATATACATATAACAGCCACCCTTTAAAGAGGTGGTAAAATTTTCCAGGCAGGTAATGGTAATGTAAATGAATTAAACATGTCAAGTGCAAGAAAGTAGTATGTTCTCACCCTTTTATTCTGTAAAGTATCTAGCTTTTTAGGTAAGTATTCCTCCATTACAAATAACCTTGATGTTGGCAATATAGCAGGAGTAGTTGTGACTGGAATGAACAGTAGCAAATTTTTGGCAAAAAAGGATTGCATCCACTTACTTCTCCCTGAATGTTGCCTTGTGAAAATATGGGCCCACGTTTTTCAGATTCCTGATTTTTCAAAGAAAGGCAGTAATATATATTTTTTAACATAAAGTTTTCTCACCTTTAAATTTCATTTGCATTTTTAATACAACATATGATGAAAAAACACATCTGTAGGTCAAATACACTTGGCATCAAGTAAGAGGACATCAATTGTGACGTAAAATGGAGATACTTGTCTTCATCTTGTTATTTATTTCTAATTTTATAGAAATGGGATCTTGCTACACTGCCCAGGGTAGTATTAAACTCCTGGCCTCAAGTGATCTTCCTATCTCAGCATCCCAAAGTGCTAGGATTACAGGCATGAACTACCGGACCTGACCTGTCTTATTAATATTTTCATGTGTACCAATGTGCTTCAAAAGGCTTCACATCTTATTTGATCTGTCATAATAGTTCTGGGAAAGTGGATGCCAATGATAGCCATGAATGGAATTTGATAAGTTCTTTTGGTGCTGTGTTAACCCACTTGGGATTATTTGGAGTATGGAAACAAACACATAATTGTTGGTTTTTTCCAAGTGAAATACAATAGTTACTTTATCTCCAAATGATGATGAATTAGTGCCAACATTTTAGATATTATTAGGCCTTAAATTATGTAGTGTCTACGTGTTTCAGCCCATTAAAATATTTCAGAAATTTGCAGTTCATTGCTTTTTGGATTTTTTGATTTGTTTTATTCTATGTAATGAAGCAGCATAGAAGTCTCAGAAACCATAGCAACAGTTTTGAGGTTGGCTTATTAATGCTAGTGTTCACGTATCACATAAAATATACTGAAAATTTTCTAGATAATTTGTAGAAACCCAAGTGTTTATATCCAACTGAGAACTTAGAGCATTTTTGTTCATCACCTTTTCCGACTAACAAAGAATAGAGTATATCTTGTGAAAAGAATATCATGCTGCATGCTCTTTATTAAGAAACAGGAGTTCATGTTTCTGCTAGAAGATCGTATAATAGAAATACATAATGTGAGATCTAGGGAAACATAACTTTAATTTAATTCTTGCCTTTTAGTTTATGACACACCAGTCAAGAAAATGTATGACATTAGTTTTTAATGAAAGAAAAGAAGCAACAGAAACCCAGAATTCAGATACATAGATATGTATAATATGCTATATTAATTTATATTAACGATGTAACACTGTATATTAAGAAAATTAATACATATTATTTTATTAAGAAAAAAGGAAATAAGGAAAAAAGAAGGAAATGACCCTCTCTATGCATAATATTGAAAGATTTCTAAAGCCAGGCATGGTGGCTCATGCCTGTAATCCCAGCACTTTGGAAGGTGAAGGCAAGAGGATTGCCTGAGTCCAAGGGTTCGAAACCAGCTTGGACAAAAAGGCGAGACATTGTTTCTACAATAAAAAGAAATAAAATAAAATTAGCCAGGAATGGTGTTGTGCCACTATAGTTCCAGTTACTTGGAAGGCTGAGACGGGAGGATCTCTTGAGTCCAGGAGGTCAAGGCTGCAGTGGCCATGAGCGTGCTCCACTGCGCTCCAGCCTGAGCGAGAGTGAGACTCTTACTCAAAAAAAAAAAGAAAAAAGAAAGATTTCCAAGATATATTGCTCAGTTAAAAATAAATAAAATGTAAGGAAGAACAGTGTCAAAGGTGGTAAATACAGGAACTTGTATTTCCATGTATTTGTATAAAGATAAACTAGACTTAGAGAGGAAGAAGAGAGTAGAAACATGACTTCTGTATGAATGCCATTTTATATTATTTTTATTTTGAGCCATTTGAATGTCATTTTCACTCAAAAATAAAACAAATAATAGAAAAGAGCAAGTACTCTTGATTCAAGTCCCAGCACTGGCATCCATTAACAGTGTGTCTTGGGCAAATTGCTTCTGCTTTCTGGCCCTCATCTGGCACATGGGGATGATAAGTAATAGTGCCCTCTTCATGGGATAGCAGTAAAAATTGTATGACTTGATTACATGTAAAGCATTGAGAACAATGCACAGCAGATTGTAAATAATGATCACTATTGGTATCACAAATTCATGATGTCCGAAACTGAGTTCGTTTTATTTGCTTCACCACCTGTGTTCCCATCACATTCCTTATTTCATTGATAGATTTGGAGTTGATCATACTCAGGGATCTATCACAGAAACAAACAACAGAGTACCATATGTTCTCACTCATAAGCAAACCTTGAACAATTATAACACTATAAGAAAGCGTTTGGCAGTAATGGGAAACTGTCAGGGAAGGGGGAGAGTGGGATTGGCAGTTGAGGGAAACTGCCAGGGGAGGGAGGGGCATACGTCATCAACAAGGGTACCTGCATAATCAACGTTTGTATACCTAACCCTGAATTGTAATTCACCCCACATCTTTATAATAAAAAATTTTAAAATTTAAAAAAAATTAAAAATAAAAAAGAAAAGCATCAACCGCTTCTTCGGCGTCACAGCTATAGTGAATTTACTCTTAATCTTTTTCTTTCCCTCACCTTCAGTTTGCAATTTGTCCCAAGTGTTAACTATGCTCCAGTTAATTTTCTGACTTTTGTTCAAATGTCAGAAAGTGTCAGCACCTCTTTCCTTGTTCAGACCCTTACTACCGGGTGAAATCTTTAATGAAAAGTACTTCTTCCCTTACTCCGTAGTATGACCCATCAATAATATTGTTGCACTCCATAAGCTTTCCATGAGTTGCTATTAAGTATTTTGTCTGGTTGAATTAAGTTTTTATAACCTGATTTGTCTTCACTTAAGTTCAGCTTTATTGTCATAATTGTATGTCATACAAAATTTGCTTTGGTAAAACGTTGTTTTCTCAATTTTGTATTATTTAATGTGTTATGGGAGCCTTGCACACAGAAATAATTTTGTACATTAGGTGCATCATTTCAGTTCCCTGGCTAATTTTCAACAACGGGGGAAATGAATTTTATTTTATCAAAATTAAATCTAATAAAATTGGAGGATTAATAATATATTAACTTATTGTTTCTGTAGGATGTTTTTTGGGTTAAATATATATTTTATTTTTAAAAATGTACTTTTATATGATGAGGGATTCTCTTACTTTATTTTATTATAAAGATGTGGGGTGCAAGTCAGGATTAGGTATAAGTAATTTACGTGGGCCAGGCTCAGTGACTTAGCCTGTAATCCCAGTACTTTGGGAGGCCGAGGTGAGTGGATGGCCTGAGCCTATTGGGTTCGAGACCTGCCTAGGTAACTTGGCGAGTCCTCGTCTCTACAATTTAAAAAAAAAAAAAAATTAGCCGGGCATGGTAGCGCACGTCTGTAGTTCCGGCTACTTGGAAGGCTGAGGCAGAAGGATTACCAGAGCCCTGTGGGTTGACACTGGGGTGGCCATGAGTGTGCCACTGCACTCCAGTCTGGGTGATGGAGTGAGACTCCAACTCAAAAATAATAATAATAATAATAAGTAGTAGTAGTAGTAGTCTACGTGCAGGTGCAGTTTGGGTCTTCATCTGGTCCTTACTTCCCCTGGTTTACGATCAGGTACCCTCAGTGAAGTTACACGCGCGCCCCCCCCCACGCATACCCTGGCAGTGTTCAGCGACTGCCCATCCTTGTCTTGTAGTGTTGTGGTAAATGTTCAGGACTCCCTTACGAGTCAGAGCATATGGTAATCAATTATTTGTTTCTGTGATAGATCACTGAGTATGGTGGACCTTAGATGTCAGCTATTATTTCATATAAATCAGTGTAAGGACAATTATTTCATGAAATTAAGTCTAGACTGAAAATTTGCTGCCGACTTCAAAGTAATTTTTTAAAATCTAGATAAGGAGAAACATTTTTAAAATATTATTAATGAAAAATATATG